ACTGACCGAAGACATATTCACCCACCAAGTCCCACAGCCCTTCATGTAACCTAGAAGAACTATTTACCTTTATTTTCTAGTTCACAGCTACCATTACCACTCGCTATGAATGAACGAGAGTAGGCTTAGATGACGTCAATAAATTGCGTCACGAACGTAAGGACTAAGGTGGAGGGGAGAGGAAAGTTTGACGTGTGCGACAGCGAGCCGTATTACGTGTGGTTCGTGTGACGTATGTCATGAGTGACGCGAGTGACGTGTTTGTGATATGTGATGTGCCACTGACGAGATGTATGTCATTAAAAAAAATCAATATTAAAATTTAAAAAAAAAGATAACTCTTTTGGCAGAGGGTGAAAATCGGGTAAAAAAAATTCACCATTTACAGACGACCTTCCCTTTTAATCTGCGTGAACTCCTAAAGCAGTTGATCTACGTGTAATTGGGCAGTTTCTTTCTAAAATATTAACCGAGCTCATTCAGTATTAAGATGCAAAACTGTGTCGTCACACTTTCTGAACGCCCCCACCCATCCCTCCCCTAGTGACACATCATCGCAAAGTACAAACCCATTATCTAAATGTGTCTGACATCCAAAACAAACAAATCGATACATCGTTGAAAATCACCCCATAAACAAAGGAAGACATCGGTAAACAAATGAAGACATCTGTAAACAAAGTAAGAAATCTTCAGCGAAGACTTCAGAAGATGATGTGGCAGGAGGAAGTTGCCGTTTGTTGACGGAACTGATGTCCGCATCCTGTCACGTGACCAGTGGTCCTTCATCAGACGACACACCTGCCTGACATTCAAGGTCAAGGACTAAAAAACAAACCCAAAAAAATTCGAAATTTAAATTCCGTATTATAATTCGCCATTAAAATGTCCATTTTGAGCAAAGTTAATTCGAGTTTTTGAGGATGTTTAGCGCATATTAAACTACGTCAAGTTAAAAATGATTAATTAATTAAAGCACACGATTTTGTTTAATTAATGCCGGAAAAGTGTTCAAAAATGTTTTCAAAACGTCCTTAAAAAGGACATCAAAGCCACTCCCCCTTGTTTACATAGACGTCAATCAAAAGTTCAAAGTGCAAACTCTCCGCATAACTCCCAACAAAACAATGCGTTCATTAAAAAAACATTTCGGTGTCATTAGTTCTTTGTTTATTGAAGTATGATTCAGCGTACATTAACTGCTGGTACCCACGTGGTCCGGTCGGTACCAGAGGCGTAGCTAGGGGAGGGCGGGGAGGGCGGCCGCCCCGGGCGCCGACCCTAGGGGGGCGCCAAAAGGGGTAGAAAAAAAATTTAAAAGCTCATTTTATGCTGCAGTTTTGAATTATAAACAGTCAAAGTAAAGAATTTAAAGAATAAGAGCGTTTGCATACTGCTTTAACTGTTTTCTACCTTTACTGTGTAACTGTAAAACGTATACCCTTAAGAAACACTGACCGGAAAAACCGCTTTCCAGCTTTCCTAGATGTGGGGGGGGGGGGGGGGGGGGCGCTTTTTCGAAGACTAAAATCGGAAAAAAATCACATCGGATTAAGGAAGTAATAACCGATATCACTCAGAAAAGAAACCCATTTAACTAAAGCGTAATTCACGATTGTGTAACATAAAAAAAGAGTTAGTGACGTTTAAAATCCGCTTTACCATTTTTGTCCAAGATGGTGGGACGCTTTTTCACCAACAAAAATTGCAGGACTTGTACTGGATCGGTTACTAGATAACTCTTTTAACACTTAGAAAAGAAATCAATTGTATTAACACTTAATGTACGATTTCATTACTTAGTTTTGCTAAGTAATAACGCGACTAGTTCTTTGTAAGATTCTTACGATTCTCTCTATCGTGAGAGATCAGATAGTTTTACTTGATTGCATTACATCTTGCCTGGATCACTTCATTAAAGAGAAATAAATATCATGGATTCTTGTATCGCTATCCGATCAGTAAAATAGCAGTCTGTCGTAGCGGGTGGTGGAAAACGACACTATTTACCAAGATTTTAAGAGAAAAGAAAATTAGTATATTGTACTGATTATTACTTTGTTCAACCTAACTGATAATTCAAAAATGTAATATAGGCCTACTATTATCGAAATTTTCTAAAGACACGACGAAAAGTAGATTAATAAGTTTGCATTTACTACAAAATACACTCTAAAGCAGTGGTTCTTAACTTTTTGGACGTACCGAACCCCATCAGTTTCATAAGCGCAATCACCGAACCCTCCTTAATAGTTTTATCGTCCACACTTACAAATTCCGATCGTGAATCCTATGAGTCGGGTGTGTGTCTTGACCTCCGCGGAAGCCCTGAGACTGAATTACCGAACCTCAAAGGTTCGATGGAATCTACTGTTCTAAACTCTTTTGATTATTTTCTTCTTCTTTTTCGTTTCGGTTTCCTAAGGAACATAGGCGTGAGCAACACTTCGTCAACTCACTTGATTTTTATGAAGATCGAACCCTAATAATCCAGTCTCCTACTGAACGCGATGGGCGTCAGCTATTATCATTAAAGGATAATGCATCTTAAGGGGAATTTAATTGGGGCCGAGGAAAGTTTTAGGGAACGATATTGTCGTCGACAATCATACAGCGTAATTATTAATTTTTTTCGGGACTGTCGCACACACATACACACACAGCCATATATATGTATATATATATATGTATATATATATATGTATATATATATATATATATATATATATATATATATATATATATATATATATATATATATATATATATATATATATATATATATATATATATATATATATATATATATATATATATATAGATGGGGGGGGGGGGCGCCGAACTGAAAGTTCGCCCCGGGCGCCGGGAGGGGTCGCTACGCCTCTGGTCGGTACCTGATTGGTTCTACCGAGGCCGGGGTCAAGTTTATTTTCCTGGTCACGCTCTGTTGGTACGTATAAAAACAATGGAGTCATTTATTTGTGACCTTGTGCGTATCACGTGACATAAACAGCCCGCGGCTAAACCACTACTGATCCTGAGGTCACTTAAGTATTTTTGTGAGTCCCTGGACCAAAACACATGTCTGCCAAAACACTATATGGTAATAGTTGTTTTTTTTAAATTAAATAATGGCTCTTTTTTTCTGATGGTTCACACAAGTGAATGGTGATCAGTTTGATTCAGTGAACGGTGCAAAGATATCCCAAATGTTCGTGTTTTTATATTCTGATTTAGGTTTACTTTTGTAAAAGCGCTTGAGTGGAACCCCCAGGGAAAGCGGAAGAGAGGGCGCCCAAGACAGACCTGGAGGCGGAGTCTTCTTGAAGAACTGAAGCCAACAGGGATGTCTTGGGAGATGTCAAAATTAATAGCCGAGGATAGGAAGAAATGGAAGGAAATGGTGGAGGCCCTATGCTCCATAAGGAGCAAAGAGGACTAAGTCAAGTCAAGTCACTTGACCTATGCTGGGAGGGGGGAAGTCACATGAAGCATGTTAAATTTTGGAGTGTCTTTATCACCAGTTTAGTTTTGAGAGTATTTCTCTCAACAGTTTAGTTTTGAGAGTATTTCTCTCAACAGTTTAGTTTTGAGATTATTCCTCTAACCAGTTCCCGATATTGGACTCGACCAAAAATAAATGTGTTCATTTGTTTGTTGTATTGTAACATCAGGTTTGGAGTTCGAGAGATAAAAGTTAGGCTACGGATGGGACTAGGGTGTGTCACAGCGTGGCCGGGAGATAGAGCGCTCGACTGCTACCCCGGAAGTCTAGAGTTCGGATCGCCGTCCGGCCTTGAATTTACAGGACGCCCCTGTGTCTACAGATTTGATGGTGATTAAATAATGTTAAATGAAGAAAAAGCGGCTGGGCATCGTGCTGACCACACCATCCCTTCATTGGCCAATGTCAAGAAGAATATAAACTCTACCAAATATACCATATGGTTCGTTAGTTCTGAAAGGGGAATTTTTATATGTACTTGACAACTTGTGTTGGTATTTTCGTCAGGGATAGAATTAGGGTCGACATTAGCAAGTTATATAGGTTATAGTTTACCACTAGCAACCTAACAACCCTATTTTAAAGAAGATTCCATAGACGTCACATAACCGAATACTAGTATGTAACATACACCCACAACTTCACTCACTCTACTTTACCTGGTCTGAAAGGGCACATACAATTTTTACATGAGGGACAGGAGTGAGTGTGTCACCGTGCCATTACATGCGATGAGTGACATGACAGTTGGTGTGTTACCACAGGCGATGATGAGTGACACGACAGTGGGTGTAACCTCCTGTGACATCATAGCCAATGCCTAATTAATTTTTTTTTATTTTCTTCTACTTTTCAAGTATTTGAATTTCAGCTGATCATTGGTCACGTCTGTTTCCTGCTGCTATTTTTATCCTCCATCCATAACGTCTTTGAAATTAAACGTCTGTTAATCAATTTCGTTACTTACTCCGGCAACGTTAATGTTTGCCTCGTTTTCATTACTCATCAAAACATAGTTACCGCCCTCAGCCCTTGATCAAATCCAGCTGTTGTCTGTTTGCCTGGACCTAATCAGGGGCGACAACTCAATACAATCTGATGACGTACACACGCCAAAACACGTGGGACCGAGGCATGGTTTTGGCCCTCGTTACCCCAAATATTATTGGCGTCACACCCCCCCCCCCCCCCCCCCTTCGTGAACGTCCGCGACCCTGACCTCGGCCGTGGTAACCAACAGGGGGACACAACTCTACCTGGCGTGGCGGTACACAACAGGCGGGCGTCACGTGATTGTCTTTAATTGGGTTAATCACTGAAGCTTTAACGACCGCTTTTGCAACGAATTATTCCTGACCCGAAAATAAAGACGTAACTACCCGACACGGTTAGGAGCGGGTGGCCTTGGAGAGATTGGCCATGGGGGAGAGTGGCCTTGGGGGGGGGGGGGGGGGGGAGTGGCCATGGGGGAAAGTGGCCATGGGGGAGAGTGGCCATGGGGGAGAGTGGCCATGGGGGAGAGTGGCCATGGGGGAGAGTGGCCATGGGGGAAAGTGGCCATGGGGGAGAGTGGCCATGGGTGAGAGTGGCCATGGGGGAAAGTGGCCATGGGGGAGAGTGGCCATCGGGGAGAGTGGCCATGGGGGGAGTGGCCATGGGGGAGAGTGGCCATGGGGGAAAGTGGCAATGGGGGGAGTGGCCATGGGGGAGAGTTGCCATGGGGCGGATGGCCATGGGGAGATTGGCCATTAGGCGGGTGGCCATGGGGGAGAGTGGCCATGGGGGAGTGGCCATGGGGCGGGTGGCCATGGGGAGATTGGCCATTAGGCGGGTGGCCATGGGGGAGAGTGGCCATGGGGCGGGTGGCCATGGGGAGATTGGCCATTAGGCGGGTGGCCATGGGGGAGAGTGGCCATGGGGGAGAGTGGCCATGGGGGAAAGTGGCCATGGGGGAGAGTGGCCATGGGGGAAAGTGGCCATGGGGGGAGTGGCCATGGGGAGATTGGCCATTAGGCGGGTGGCCATGGGGGAGAGTGGCCATGGGGGAGTGGCCATGGGGCGGGTGGCCATGGGGAGATTGGCCATTAGGCGGGTGGCCATGGGGGAGATTGGCCATGGGGGAGAGTGGCCATGGGGGAAAGTGGCCATGGGGGAGAGTGGCCATGGGGGAAAGTGGCCATGGGGGGAGTGGCCATGGGGGAGAGTGGCCATGGGGGAAAGTGGCCATGGGGGAGAGTGGCCATCGGGGAGAGTGGCCATGGGGGGAGTGGCCATGGAGCGGGTGGCCATGGGGAGATTGGCCATTAGGCGGGTGGCCATGGGGGAGAGTGGCCATGGGGGAGTGGCCATGGGGGAGAGTGGCCATGGGGAGATTGGCCATTAGGCGGGTGGCCATGGGGGAAAGTGGCCATGGGGGAGAGTGGCCATGGGGAGATTGGCCATTTAGCGGGTGGCCATGGGGGAAAGTGGCCATGGGGGAGAGTGGCCATCGGGGAGAGTGGCCAGGCCATGGGGGGAGTGGCCATGGGGGAGAGTGGCCATGGGGGGAGTGGCCATGGGGGGAGTGGCCATGGGGGGAGTGGCCATGGAGGGAGTGGCCATGGGGGGAGTGGCCATGGGGGAGAGTGGCCATGGGTGAGAGTGGCCATGGGGGAGAGTGGCCATGGGGGAGAGTGGCCATGGGGGGAGTGGCCATGGGGGGAGTGGCCATGGGGGAGAGTGGCCATGGCGGAGAGTGGCCATGGGGGAGAGTGGCCATGGGGGGAGTGGCCATGGGGCGGGTGGCCATGGGGAGATTGGCCATTAGGCGGGTGGCCATGGGGGGGTGGCCATGGGGCGGGTGGCCATGGGGAGATTGGCCATTAGGCGGGTGGCCATGGGGGAGAGTGGCCATGGGGCGGGTGGCCATGGGGAGATTGGCCATTAGGCGGGTGGCCATGGGGGAGAGTGGCCATGGGGGAGTGGCCATGGGGCGGGTGGCCATGGGGAGATTGGCCATTAGGCGGGTGGCCATGGGGGAGAGTGGCCATGGGGAGATTGGCCATTAGGCGGGTGACCATGGGGGAGAGTGGCCATGGGGGAGAGTGGCCATGGGGGAGAGTGGCCATGGGGGGAGTGGCCATGGGGGAGAGTGGCCATGGGGCGGGTGGCCATGGGGAGATCGGCCATTAGGCGGTTGGCCATGGGGGAGAGTGGCCATGGGGCGGGTGGCCATGGGGAGATCGGCCATTAGGCGGGTGGCCATGGGGGAGAGTGGACATGGGGGAGTGGCCATGGTGGAGAGTGGCCATGGGGCGGGTGGCCATGGGGGAGAATGGCCATGGGACGGATGGCCTTGAATGAAGTGGGCGTTGTGGTCACAGGTGTCGCTCTAACCAACCCCCCCCCCCCCCCCTGTACTATTGTATATTCCTCAACTCAACAAGATGAATTATCGACGTTTAAAAATACATCAGGATTAATGACCGTTTAAAACCTAAAAATTTTAATTTTGCGTTTTCTGAAAAGTTTCATGCAAATATATTTTCATCAGATGAGATCTTAGGTCATATGCCACCCACCGCGAAAAGCAAGCAATAAAAAATTGCAAGGCGCATAAAAAAATGAAATCATATTCATACAGCACCTTTTAAAGCCGTTAATTTTCAATTTTATCCTGTACAGAATCTAAATTTTCCTTGACGGAACACATTTTCTGGGTTATCGCGCATACAATCTAAAATTTTCATCGACTGAACGCAATTTCTTGGGCACGGGGGACAGGGGTGGGGATGGCGTACAATGGCGGGTGAAATCAAATAAAATGCTAATTTTTTGATTGACGAGTTTTTTTTTAGCCCAGGTGATGACAAAGGCCATTTGTCTCCGGTAAAATAGGAAAGTTTGACGAAATACGGCAGCGAAAAGATTAACGCGTGATCCGGGCACTTTTAGTATTGTTTTATTTTCCGTAATAAATATATAAATCACTAGAAGAGTATCCAAAATCTGGTGCATTTTTGCAGTTTTATGGCGAGTAAACATAAAAGTTAGCTGTTAAAATGCTGAGATCTCGACGTTTTGTCTTTCGATCGTAAAAGAATAGCTTCTTCTTCTTTTTGAGATATTTCAAGATGTGACAGGAGAGGTGGCAAAATGGGTGTCAGTGTCAGTACAATAGATTGTCATGTCATGTCTTCAGGCCTATGTGACACTCTTTTTCAAGAAGATATTTCTAGAGGGGGGGGGGGGGGGGCATTTGGAGAGTGGGGCATGGACCTGCTACATGCAGTAACGCATTTAGGGTACCATTTAGTGTTCAAATTAGGTTAACAAGCTTGTACTGGGGTGGCAGATATTTTTTTTTTCTTTGGGGCCAGGCTATTTTTACTTTCTTGTACCCGGAGTATTTAGAAAGTACTGTAATCGTGCTTAAAATCGAAATCATAATTTTGACAAATCTCGATGTTTTACACCACAATGAGTGGGACAAAAAAAAACTAGTTTAAGACTATTTTAATGAGAGAAACCCTGACGCCATCCAAGTGGAAAGGGGGAGGGGGTGGCTAAAACAATCCAAGAGAAGAACAGCAGAAGAAGAGGCAAGAGCTGCCGGGCTTACGTGGGCTCAAATAAAGAGAGCCGCCCAAAACAGAGTCCGGTAAAGAGGTGTGGCTGTAGCCCTATGCTCTCCAGGCTCCACAAAGAAATAAGTCAAGTTACTTCAAGTTACTTCAAGTTACTTCAAGTTACTTCAAGTTACTTTAAGTTACTTCATATATTTTAATGCTAAAAATTGTAAAAAATTAAATTAACTTTGCTTTCTGAATATATATATATATATATATATATATATATATATATATATATATATATATATATATATATATATATATATATATATATATATATATATATGCGAAAACCAAACCTTAAATCATTGGCTCTAAATAGGGACATATTCTCAGAAAACTTAGACGTAGAGATGACCGCCCATGCCATAAATATCATGTCCGCACTGTCTATACTTAACATCATGTTGAGGTGTCTTGTCTTGGTACTCGAATCCTTGAATTTACACTTTCGTCCTTGTAGGGACAAGCACACTTAAACTGGGACTTGGTAAAAAAAAATATACAGGTTTTTTATTTACAATTGTTTTTAGGTTGTCGTGACGATGTAGATCTATATACGGTGTGTCGTTTTTACTTTCTCGTATACAGAGTATAGAGGAAGTTTTGTAATCGTGCACAACAATCACATGAAATTTTGACAGTTTTCATCGTTATACACCTCAGTACTTGATCATATACGGAGTAAAGGGGACTTATTTTAATCGGGCAAAAAATTTAAATCCAGATTTATCAAAATTTCGACGTTTTATGTTTCTTCGAGTCGGAAAAAAACTGTGTTTTACAATTCTGTCCGTATGTCTGTGTGTATGTCTGTAAACACGATAACTTAAGTATCGTTACAGCTAGGTAGATGAAGTTTCATATATAAGTATTATATTAAATGTGTAGTTCTGTGTCAACTTTTCAGCGATTTCCGATCAACGTAAGTGGGACTTATTCTACTTTTAGTTTTTCAAAAGCCTATAACTTGAGTACTATTTCAGATAGATAAACGAAATTTCAAATATAAGTAAAAGATCTAATTTTCTGCCTTCTTTTAAATTTTGAGTAATTTACGTTGACTTGAAGTAGTAATTTACGCTATTTCCGATTTCTCAAAAGACGCATGTGAACTTATAAAGTAATAATAATATTCCGCACTATTATATGCATTATAAAAAGTTTAAGTAATTTAAAAAAATGATTAAAAATCATATCTATATCCCGAGTTGCCATCCCCTGTAGTGTTATATAACATTACTCGAGAAAGTTTAGGGGAGATCACTCCCGGTTTATTTATTTCATTTCGTATCCTCGAGCAAAAAAGATGCAAGCAATTTTGACATTTCTGCTACTTTGTTATACATTTTAACTAACTAGCAATTAACGACACCTTAAGTATTTTAACCTTATTTTTTAAATTACATTTTCAACCAATCAGGGGCTTTGATTTCAACCACCGGAAACGGTTGACTTCTCCCAAGGTCATGACGCCCGTGGCAACGACTTCCGCCGTTTTCGAGTTTTTTCTCAGGTAATTAACCAGCGAATGGGGTTAACATCAACATATGGGCATCACGTGACTTTGGACCCCCTCTGGCCATGGTGTGGGTTGAAACAATCCATTACAGTCGACCCGCTGGGCAGTGCGGGGGAGGGCAGGGAGGTATCTCATCAGGTGAATGTTTTAATGGCTAGTTGCTTGACCTCAGCTGCCCTCGGTACACGTATCAAAGTTTTATAACCAAAACACATGGTAAGAAATCCGAGTTCTGACATCAATATTGTTGATTTTTTTTACTTCTATCACCCTTTTGTGCATTTGTATACAATTTTAAACTATACATCCTCAGTGAAAAATTCCAAGGATTATTTTGGTCCACGTACTCGATTACGTTTTCAAACAGCAAGCATACCAAACACAGACATCATAAGCCTTGGATAGCCCAAGTAGCATACGTCCCGAAATTAGACGTCACAAACACCATAAGTCCCATGCACCAAACGTCCCAAACTTAGACGTCCCAATCGCATAACGTCACTACCACCAAACGCTCAAACAGCAACCCATTACAACCGTCGCCGCAACACTCACAAGCAGAGGCGTAGCGAGGAGGGGGCGGGGGGGGGGGGGGTACACATGTCCCAGGGTGCCGACCCTAGGGGGCGCCAAAATGGTTTTTTTTTAAAATTAAAAGCTCATTTTAGCTGCAGTTTTGCATTATAAATATAAAAAAAATATATGGGTGGGGCGAGGCGCCAAATTGGAAGTTTGTCCCCGGGCGCCGGGAAGGGT